TATACAATTTATTAACTCGGCAGTATTTGGTTACAGAATATCCGATTCACGGGTCTCACAAACTCGAAAATTATCGGCATAACATCAACAAACAGCAAACTTTTCCACATGAACGTCCTCAACTGCAAGAACATAACTCTTCAAGATATTGGTATTGATGCTCCTCCGGAGAGTCTCAACACCGATGGTATCCACATCGGAAGGTCAAATGGCGTCAACTTAATAGGGGCAAAGATTAAAACCGGAGATGATTGCGTTTCCATCGGAGATGGTACTGAAAATCTCGTTGTTGAGAACGTAGAATGTGGACCAGGTCACGGTATTTCCATCGGAAGTCTTGGAAAGTATCCCAATGAGCAACCAGTGAAAGGAGTCATCGTGAGGAAATGCCTCATTAAGAACACCGATAATGGTGTTCGCATCAAGACATGGCCCGGATCTCCTCCTGGTATTGCCTCGAACATTCTTTTTGAGGATATCACAATGGACAATGTTACCACTCCCGTTCTCATCGACCAAGAGTATTGTCCTTATGGCCACTGCAAAGCTGGGGTATGTAACTGAATCAAACATTTTCTATATTTCAAATTAAAGAGATATTAAGTTGCATAAGTTTTCAACTCAAAACCAATAGTTTCGGCACATATATATGATAATATTAATCAAACTTTTAACTCTTTCTATGTTTAGGTCCCATCGAAAGTGAAGATTTCGGACGTGACCTTCAAGAACATTAAGGGCACATCAGCCAATAAGATAGCCGTGAAACTAATATGTAGCAAAGGTGTGCCTTGCTCCAATATTGCTCTCGCGGACATCAACTTGGTCAGCAACGGTAAAGAGGGACCAGCGGTCTCGGCATGTGCTAACATGAAGCCTGTCCTTAGCGGAAAGATGGTACCAGCGGCTTGTACTGAAGTCGCTAAAACGGGTCCTTGAATGTCGCTAGCCCACCATGCATCCATCCAACCTGGTGATTAGGGTGCGATCGATGAAAAAGTTTTGAAATATCTTTCGTTTTTTTAATGTATAAATGATATGTATATGATATAATAGATGAATAAGTCCCTTTGAGCTTGAGTTTATCAGCGAAAGAGTGACTCGTGTTTTGGGTAGTAGCTTTTGTCTGATTCGCAATATGCGAGAATGTTTTAATATTTATTAGAACCCAGAATTTACATAAATACGATGAACAAGAGAGAGAGTGTAGAGAGAGAATGAAAAGTTTCTTAGATTGGATTTAATGTTCTGAGTTACATTTTCTAAAGTCTGTTAGTCACTATACATAAACAATCAATCCGGTTTAAGAGATAGTGTAACCGGAAATAACCATTAAACCATGTAACTCTA